CTGGCAAATCTCATTATTGGTTGTACACTAGATTTTATTACTGTCTGCCCTAACAAACATTTAACAGTTAATAGCTGGGCCTCTCCATTGTATGTTAATGAGACAAAGCTGAGCCTGTCCTTAGTCCTTCTATTGGGACAGACTTATGCAGGCCATAGACAGGTCAAAAATCGGCCGATTTTTTTTTTTGAAAAAAAGAAAAATCGGCCGTTTGATCAGATGACGTTACTACCAACATTATTGGCTGATTTTTGGCCCATCTACGGCTGGCATTAATCCCATAACTTCTGTCCCTTGCAGGGACAGGGGGCACACCATACAATGTTACAGCAAGAAGAAGAAGAATTCCAGTGTGCTATTATATTTTATATGAAAAAGTCTTGCTGTTGCAACAAATTTATCCATTTGTATTCAAATAAAACATCTGTATCCAAAAAAAACCATTGTAATACATTATTTGGATTACAATGTTTTTATGAAAAAGTCTTGCTGTTGCAACAAATGTATCCATTTGTATCCAAACACAAAAACATTGTAATACATTATTTGGATTACATTGTTTTTATTTTGATACAAATGGATACATTTGTTGCAACCGCAAGACGTTTTCATATAAAATATAATAGCGGACTGGAATTCTTCTTCTTCTTCTTCTCCTTCTTCTTCTTTTTCTTCTTCTTGCAGGTCACGGCTCATGCGCAGATTCTTTATCGGTAAAACCGGTCGGCCGATTTGCCCATCATTGCCGGGAAAATCGGTCACCAATTTTCCAACATGCCCGATAAAAAAAAATGTGCAAAACCCCCAAAAAATAGCCGACCAATTAACCCTCTAACGGTGCGAAAATCGGCCGATTTTTTTTTTTATCAGCCGAAAAAATCGGTCGATTTTCGACCCGTCTATGGCCGGTATTAGTCTGAATTTGTTCAGAAATGTGTACAGTTTGCCATTACCTTCTCCTAAAAAAAATATCTAAAAGGTGAGATTTTTTTGAATTTTTTAGTTATCCTATGTGATTGGGAACACATATAACATAACAAAAGCAGGGTTTTCTCAAATTTGACTGAAAAAGTGGAAATAAATTTTAAGGGTCAGAGGTTGCCTGCCTAACTTGTATTCACTCCACATGATGGCTATTGGACTAGTGCAATAGTATTTCTGGAGAGCACACATGGACCATTGTTACTATGTATTTTACCATATCTGGCCAATGCCCCTGAAAGCTGAAAAAAATCACTGACCAATGCTGGACCAATGTAACTATGTCAAAATATACCATACCTGGAATTAATTTTTAAAGTGTACCTGTGATGGGACATGTACATGAGCTTCCGTAACTGACCTCCTTCTGAAAATGTAGCTTACCTAGCTATCATGCTGATTATTTTCAATACATTGGAGGTTATTTATTAAAACTGGAGAGTGCAAAATCTGGTGCAATTCTGCATAGAAACCAATCGGCTTCCAGGGTTTATTAGTAAAGCTTAATTGAACAAGCTGAAGTTAATTGGCTACTATGCACAGCAGATTCTGAGTGTAGCAATCTTAGTAAATCAACCCCATTGAGTAACTGACCAGAAGAAGGTGTACAGGAGTTCCAACTTAACTTGATACATGCTTCTTACAGATAAGATTTGTAAATAATCAATTATAAAATGTTAAAGCCACAGGAAGAATAACACGGTCATGCAACTTCCATTCTAAAAAAATAAAAAAAAATTAGCAGTGATAACCCGCATAGGTCTTTGATGACAGGTTGCCTTTGAAATAGCTGCTGGTTGGACCTGGGTTGCAGCTGCAACAAACCTGCTGTCTGGTCTATTTCTAGCGGATTCAAGCTGTGATACTGCAGCACTCCAGCAGACATCACTGGCCCAGCTTGCAATGGGGTTTTGGCTAATGTACAAAAACTGGGCAAACAAGGGCAGAAATGTTTGTTTAGCAGCCATTCGGATTACAAGCTTTCACCTTCAAGAGTAAGAAATCATCTGTTAAGGGTAGCACAGAAGCTGTTACAAAACCCCAGCTTTTGTAGTACAGTCAAAGTGCACATTGTGCTTGTCAATGGAGGGCAAAGTAACAGGTTCTTTTTAATGAGGATTTCCCCAGCAGAATATATTTATCTACCATTTGCTCAGTTCAGCAGCCTGGGGTGAAAGGAAAGAACCATGTAAGCTGTGAGTCACTGGAGTTATAGCTTACACAAGGCAATCGAGTCCTCATGGACAACTTTTGATTGGCCCAGTGCTGTCACATGGAGCGAGTCACAGCTTCTTGTGATCATAGATAAAGGGTATATCCCTAGGGTGGTACTATGGATACATAGCTTATACACTGTGCCACATCCTAGGAAGACTTGCCAAAATGTGATTGCAGCTAAATGGACTTTATAGACACTTAAACACCATAATTTTGTAAAAATCCTCATTCTCTTTATTGAAAAATCACATAATTATCACAAAAAAAATAATGATTTCTAAAACATGATACTAAACAAGCACCACAAATTACAACAACAAAATAAACTGTGTTCCAAATAATTATGCAAATGATATTTTTCTCATTTACCTAAATAATTGATGTAAATAACAGTCAGCGTAATTCTCATGTTATCAACTATTAAGAGTACAATTCACATTTTATTGAACAAACCTCCTAATGATAACAGGATTTTTTTAAACATAAAAACACTTACAATGCACTGTTCCAAATTATTACGCACAGTAAGTTTCAAAACACTTTATAGGTTGTAAAGAACTGAAAATTGTCATTTGTTGTGTTTGCAGCATATTTACTGAAATCAAAAGTTATTTCAATCAAACTTTTAACAACATTTGAACTTTTTAAACATTTTAACAGATCACGTTACATTTTAACATCGGACCCCTTATTTGATAGCAGATCACAAGTCTTGCATCCATTGAACTTGTGAGTTTTTGGACAGTTTCTGTTTGAATTTGTTTGCAAGATGTCAGAATAGCCTCCCAGAGCTGATGTTTGGATGTAAACTGCCTCCCACCCTCATAGATCTTTCGCGTCAGGATGGTCCAAAGGTTCTCAATAGGATTGAGGTCAGGGGAGGATGGAGGCCACACCATGACTTTCTCTCCTTTTATCCCCATAGCAGCCATTGATGCAGAGGTATTCTTTGCAGCATGAGATGGTGCATTGTCATGCATGAAGATGATTTTATTACAGAAAGCATAGTTCTTCCTTCTGTACCAGGGAAGAAAATGGTCAGTCATAAACTCTGCATACTTTGCAGAGGTCATCTTTACACCTTCGGGGCCCTAAAGGGGCCGACCAGCTCTGTTCCCATGATTCCGGCCCAAAACATGACTCCACCACCGCCTTGCTGACATCGCAGCCTTGTTGGAACAGGGTGGCCGTCCACCAACCATCCACTACTCTATCCATCTGGACCATCCAAGGTTGCACGACACTCATCAGTGAACAGGACTGTTTGAAAATTAGTCTTCATGCATTTTTCTGCCCAATGCAGCCGTTTCTTGCTTGTGAGCATTGGTTAGTGGTGGCTGAATAGAAGGTTTATGCACAGTTGCAAGACTCTGGAGGACTCTACATCTTGATGTCCGTGGGACTCCAGAGGCACCAGCAGCTTCAAATATCTGTTTGCTGCTATGTAATGGTATTTTAGCAGCTGCTCTCTTGATCCGATGCATGGATCTGGCAGAAATCTTCCTCAATGTGCCTTTATCTGCATGAACCCGCCTGTGCTCTGAATCAGCCACAAATCTCTTAATAGTGCGATGATCACGCTTAAGTTTTCGTGAAATATCTAATGTTTTCATACCTCGTCCAAGGCATTGAACTATTTCACTCTTTTTGGCAGCAGAGAGATCTTTTTTCTTCCCCATATTGCTTGAAAATGGTGCTCTGCCTAATAATGTGGAACACCCTCCTTTAGTAGTTTTTCCTTAAATTGGGCTCACCGGCCAATCTAATTATCACAGGTGTCCGAGATTGTGTTCAGTGATCAAAAGAGCCCTGACACACAATGCCATCCATGAGTTAAACTGAAAAACAAAATATTTAATCTTTTTGACACTTAATTAGAATTTGCATAATAATTTGGAACAGGGTGTATTGCACTTCAATATTTGTATCATTTGAAGTCCTACCGCTCCTAAATGACCATATACAGTAATCTGATTGGTACCAGAATGGATTCTTGTGATCATAGGGTGTCATAGCTCAACCCCTGAACTGTTTCCCACTCCAACGTTATTAAATTTGACCCCCTGCCTGTCACTGCACAAGCAAAATGACCTTGCGGATTACTGTTCCTAGTACATATGTGCCAAGCAGCTCCATTCATTTCTGTGGATGATCTGCACTCCAGGCAGGGCCACACTGTGAAGAACTGTGAGTGGGGAAGAAGGTAAAGATTTATCTGGGGGGGTTGGGGTGGGGGGGGGGCTTACTTTTTGTTATATACATAAAGATTTACTATTCCTAAATTCAACTTGTACCTAATGCATGTCAAAGGATTAACAAGAACCATGTTTGTTGCTGTATTAGAATCTTGATGTATATCAAGGAAGGTCCAAAAACAGCTACAGACTGTTCAGTAAAAAGAAAAAGTATTGTTCTTCCCTGTGTCCTGCTAAGTAGATTTAGAAACTATATCATAAGCAGCCCTGTACAGTCTTAAGTATTAAGACTTTGTTTGAGACCCTAAAAATTTACATGTCTTCCTTTGAAGTCCGAAATGATGCAATGAGTCTTTTGTTACAGCTAATTGAAGCTTGTTCTTTTTTTTTTTTTTTCTTTTTTTTTTTTGAGGCAAAAGTGAATAATTTTCATTTACATGAACCCATTATCAAATATACCATGTACAGTGCAATCTGTATCTGAATGAACATGTTGCTGAAATTCTTGAAGGAAAACCTTTAACAATTTAAATGGGACCAGTTGTTAAGCTTCTTCCGGTTGGTTTGCACCATATGACTTTCATTCTTGTTTTTCTGTATCCTCAGCTGAAGTCCAGAGTGAAATTGAACGTATCTTTGAATTAGCGAGGACATTACAGCTTGTAGTTCTTGACGCAGATACCATAAACCATCCAACGCAACTTAGTAAGACCTCCCTGGCCCCCATCATAGTTTACGTAAAGATTTCTTCTCCAAAGGTAATCTTGCTTCAGTAATGTGTCTGGCCGTTATGTATAAGAGACGTTTTTGCATGCTTTTGTGTCAGAACTGTTTTCTTCCCATACAAGTCAATGAGAATACATTCAGCATCTTAGAAGAAGGTGAGAAAGGGTCCAGAAGCAACTGTGAAAGAACTCAGAAACTCATCTCTTAGGGACTTAACAGGTAGTGTTAGAACTGCTTTGCTTCCCATAAAACTGAAGCAGCTTGATGAAGGTTTGAGGGGGGTTAAATGTACTGTAGGTCAGAAGAAAGTTAACAGAAGTACAATTGGGCCTGGAAAGAAGGAAACAGCATCTCAAACTAATCTCAGATGCTCATTGAAATTGATCATTTAAAAATTAAAAGAAAAGAAGTGATTTCTTAAAGAGCCGGGTATTTAAAAATAAGGTGTAGGCACCTCAAAGATCAATACCTGCAGCAACTCGAATTGCCTTCTAGTATTTCATATTTATTGATATGGCTCTTGGTAGGCGACTCACATGCAATCAGGGCTACTCTATATTGGGTACCCAAGAACATGACAAAAAAGTGGCAACCAGCCCAACCTGTAACTAGCCTTTGCAGTAAGGTGCATGCACATGGAAGGGCATTGCATATCTCAAACAAACATAAATTTCCCAGCACACTTACCAGCTAGCCTGCAGAAAAAAAAACAAGTTGACCCTATCTAACAAATCACTTTATACACAGAAAGTTTAGTTTGCACACATTTGCAAGTATTTGTGTAGGTCGCAGTACCTACTTCAAGGCACCTCTGTGTACTGTGGTCCTAACTCTATAATTTGTTTTTAAATCAGGTCATTTTTATTAACCAGTTTTTCATTAAAAAGAACAACTGTTACAAAGGACAAGATTTGTCATGAAATAACAAAGACTTCACATAGTTGGAATAAAACAAGTTGGATTGTTGTATCTCTCAGTTGTATTTCTAATACTGTGCATTAGTTGCAGAGCAAATGTTAAATACTATCTACCTTGTCAATCTGATACCTGCATAACGTTTCACATCCAACCCATATGTACACTGCTATATGTTACATGTACACTGCTATATGTTATATGTACACTGCTATATGTTGTTATATATGCACACTGCTATATGTGCTCCAATGTGGAGACTCTTAAAGTCATAGAGTTAGGACCACAGTACACAGAGGTGCCTTGATGTAGGTACTGCGGCTTACACATATATTTGCAAATGCATGCAAACAAAACCGTCAGATTGTTAGACAATTTGTTTTTTGTGCAGGCTAGCAGGTAAGTGTAGTGGGAAATTGTTGTTTGTGTGAAAACCCCAAGACTAAAAGAAGGAGCACCATACGAAATTCATAAAAGAGTCCAAACCAGCTCTGATGATTCACAAGACATTCAACACCTTTTAGGGGCAAAATTCACCTCTGAATTATTCAATTATTTTTATTCTGTTCACAAATTATTTGGTATCTACTGTAAATGCAAGTTTTTGTCTTGTTAGTATTTTCCTGGTTTTAGGTAGTATGTATAAATGGATATTGATTACATATTTTTTTGATTTATAGTTTTCATAATGCTACATCTTTATATTTATCTTTAAGCCCTGATAAAGTGGGAGCCTGTTTTGCTTTCAAAATGTGCTGGCTGTCCTGTGAATCATTAAAGCTGTTTTGGACTTCTTTATGAAATTGGTCTGGTGCTCCTTCTTTTAGTTTAAGCTCTGAATGCCCAAATGCTGGGTCATTCTGAACAGGCAAAGCTCCAATGCTTCTGTATAATTTTGGAGCTTACCTGTTCCCTCATACATTCCTATTGGCCATCACTATGTTGGTCTGCTTCATTAGCCAAAGGTTATGTGCAGGGGCGGACTGACCATTTGGAAACTCGGGCACTGCCCAAGGGCCCGGGGTCAGTAGGGGGCCCCATGAGATGCCCCTGATACCTTTTTCATAGGCTTTTTTGAGTTTGGGCAAGGACACAGGGGCCCCATAATCCCCTAATGCCCGGGGGCCCCATAAGTTGTCAGTCCTCCCCTGGTTATGTGTGAGATGGGAATAGTAAGAAAGCTCTAACACTACCTGAACGTGTCTGAGCTTTGCCTGCTCAGACCAGCCAGAATTCAACTGTAGCAGAGGACATTGAAAGCTGCTGCAGTTATATGCAGAAACTACTAGGTATCTACACCTAATACCTGTAAGCTACTGTCACTTAATTTTTTGCTAGTGAATGTTGCTTTATTTCCATAATTATACAACTGGAGATATACAGTACAGCAAAATGAGAAGCCATGTGCAACCTGGACCTTTCCAGTCATTTGAGATTCACCACCTGTTTCCATCATTGCTTACAGTTGACAGTTTGAAAATCTATTATAATGTCTTCAGGGATCACCTTATCTAACCAGCAGAGATAAGGAAAATTGGTGAAGTGGTGGAAAGAGATGCTTTCTAGAGTCTCTTCTCTATTTTAGATTTTTGCATAGTGAAAAGAAGTGATCTGTGTGCTCCAAAGCAGCTAAAGTAAGATGACAGTCAAGAAGTGTTCATAGACAGCTGGAGGATAGACCATGGCAAGGCCATATCCTGTTCTGTAAGCACTGACATGACAGTAGGAACCCACATTCACAGAAATGTTCATTATTGGAAAAAGTTCCAACTATTACAAGTCCATTTTACCTCTAGCCATTAACTTTAAAGTATAACTAAAGGCAAAACATTTTGGATAGAGTGGAGAGGGATTAGAATACCTGTTTTTATTGCTACCTCTGCCCCCGTCAAGGAAATTTACCCTCTCTACTGTATTTGTCCTGTTTACCATTATCATCAAAAGTGTAAGTAAAAGACAAACCCACATTTTGAATTTTCCTAAAAACAATGGGGACCCTAGTTCTGGTGACCTGGGGGTCCCTGAGGAATTCCCTTAATTTGCAAGAATTTCCTCTCACTTTCTGTTTGGCTATGGGACAGGAAGTAAAGGGAGATCTCCCCAATGGGACACAGATGGCAAATAAACTGACAGGGGTTATAACCCTCTCTTACTCTATCCAAAGCTAAAAAAAAGGTTTTGCTTATAGTTCTAATTTAATGTATTGCCTTATTAATGTAAAACAGCTATTCTATAAGGGGTGTCCACCCAAAACTGATACTGTAGTTGAGATTTTAGTAGAACAGTAGACAGAGTTTTATCCACCTGACAATTTTATCTACTGGGGACTTTATTGGTGAGATCTATATGCCCGGGTTCCTGCTCTATAGACCTGCTGTGGCTATTGTGAGAGAATTACAGTCTTCCTGTTGGGCATTTTATTTATTTTTTCTGAGGGGTTGTAAAAGAAGGGACTGAAACACCCAAAGGTGGGCAGGGACACCAAAAACTCCAGGTGGACTGGAACAGAGTCAGGAATTATGGCAGGGAGATCTTGTTGCTGGAGTATTCACGATATAAAGCAAGTCAAGGGCTGCCTAAGCCCCCCAAACCCCATTTAAAAGTAAAACCTTGCAGCCAGATGAGTATTTAAGTTTACTGTCCCTCGAAATAATTTGAAACCCTTCTTTCTTCCTGTCCAAAAGTGGCATGCGTGATGTGTTCTGTTTTTTTGTGTGATGCCAGTATGTGTGTTGTGTTCAGTATGTTAATATTATGTGCATTTAATTATCATTTTCAGGTTTTACAGAGGCTAATAAAATCACGAGGAAAATCTCAGGCAAAACATCTAAACGTGCAAATGGTAGCAGCTGACAAACTAGCACAGTGCCCGCCAGTAAGTGTCCCCTGTTATGTTATGTTTTCTGACATAGGCCAGGTAGGTGGTACTTTAGAATTTAAGGGCTCCTTCACATTAAAACGTGGTGCAGGAAACCTGCACTCTATTTAAGTTTTCCGCTGTCAAAAGTGTTCCTAATGGCACCCCAAATGCAGATCGCAGACACAGTGTGTTTGCCCACACCAGATCCCATGGTAACATAGTACCATGTGATCCAGTTGCTCTGCATTTTTAAAAGTAGTGCATGCATGACTTTTCATGCGATTCAGTGTGATTTCAGCCCATTAAAATGAATGGGCTAAATATCTCACCGCACAGAAACACAGACTGCATTCCTGTGCAGATTACCTATGAATCGGCCCTAGAAGCCTAAGTTTAGTAAAAAAAAGTTAAATCAATGCAGAGGCAACATTTATATATTTCAGGTACTTATATAGCGCCGTTAATTTACACAGCGCTTTACATATATATTGTACATTCACATCCGTCCCTAACCCTCAAGGGGTGTACAATCTAAGGTCCCTAACTTACATTCATACATACACATACACATACTAGGGCCAATTTAGACAGGGGCCAATTAACCTACCAGCATGTCTTTGAAGTGTGGGAGGAAACCAGAGTACCCAGAGGAAACCCACGCAGGCACAGGGAGAACATGCACACTCCAGGCAGGTGGTGCCGTGGTTGGAATTCAACCCTAGTACTGTCAGGCAGAAGTGCTAACCATTTAACCACTGTGCTGCCCATTACTTACAGTCAATGAATGCGATATGTCCTTTGTGCTGTTGGGTGTGCCGCCATAATCTTCCAGTGCCACAATGATTTTAGAGCTTAGGGACCTGTCATATGCATTCATCGAGAGTGCTAACTATGCCTGCTCTTTTTGCACCCTCCTCCATTCGTTGAAGCTACATAGTTACATAGTTAGTCTGGCTGAAAAAAAACAAAAGTCCATCCAGTTCAACCATAGAGAAAAAAAAAAAGTTATAATCCTATACCCACAGTTGATCCAGAGGAAGGCAAAAAAACCCAGCAAAGCATGATCCAATTTGTCCTGCAGGGAAAAAAATTCCTTCCTGATCCCCCGAGAGGCAATCGGATATTCCCTGGATCAACTTTACCTATGATTGTTAGTATCCAGTTATATTCTGTGTATCTAAGAAACAATCCAGGCCTTTTTTGAAGCAATCCACTGAGCTGGCCAGAACCAACTCTTGAGGGAGTCTATTCCACATTTTCACATCTCTCACTGTGAAGAAACCTTTCCATGTTTGGAGATTACATTTCTTTTCCTCCAGACGTAAAGAGTGCCCCCTTGTCCTCTGTGATGACCTCAGGGTGAATAGCTCTACACCGAGTTCACTATATGAACCACTGATGTATTTATACATGGAGATCATATCCCCCCTTATGTATTATACATGGAGATCATATCCCCCCTTATGTATTATACATGGAGATCATATCCCCCCTTATGTATTTATACATGGAGATCATATCCCCCCTTATGTATTATACATGGAGATCATATCCCCCCTTATGTATTATACATGGAGATCATATCCCCCTTATGTATTATACATGGTGATCATATCCCCCCTTATGTATTATACATGGAGATCATATCCCCCCTTATGTATTATACATTGAGATCATATCCCCCCCTTATGTATTATACATGGAGATCATATCCCCCCTTATGTATTATACATGGTGATCATATCCCCCCTTATGTATTATACATGTTGATCATATCCCCCTTATGTATTATACATGGTGATCATATCCCCCCTTATGTATTATACATGGAGATCATATCCCCCTTATGTATTATACATGGAGATCATATCCCCCCTTATGTATTATACATGGAGATCATATCCCCCCCTCATGTATTATACATGTTGATCATATCCCCCTTATTATTATACATGGAGATCATATCCCCCTTATGTATTATACATATGATCATATCCCCCCTTATGTATTATACATGGAGATCATATCCCCCCTTATGTATTATACATGGAGATCATATCCCCCCTTATGTATTATACATGGAGATCATATCCCCCCTTATGTATTATACATGGTGATCATATCCCCCCTTAATCTCCTCTTCTCAAGAGAGAATAAATTCAGTTCCTCTAATCTTTCCTCATAGCTGAGCTCCTCCATGCCTCTTATCAGTTTGGTTGCCCTTCTCTGTACTTTCTCCAGTTCCACAATGTTCTTTTTGTGAGTTGGTGCCCAAAACTGAACTGCATACTGCTGTACTTTATATAGCTTCTATGAATAAAAAAAATATCTATAAATGGAGGACAGATGGACAAATGAAAGGTCCACCTCTCCATTCATGGATTGTTTTTCATTCATAGAAGCTATACAAAATAATACCTTGTTCAGGAATTTTCTGTTATTGGGTGACAACTTTCACCCAGTCATGCTCCCTCATTGTCACCCAGTTGCATGTGGCTCTGGTGGAGACTACAACAGGCACTGTTCTTACTATTGAGAAACTGAGAAACTAGTCCAGAGCAAGAATGTGGAGCTGATACTGTAATGATCACTTGCAGACTAAAAGTATTTGACACCTGCCTTTACATGCACATGAACTTTATTAGCATTCCAGTCTTAGTCCGTAGGGTTCAATATTGAGTTGGCCCCGCCCTTTGCAGCTATAACAGCTTCAACTCTTCTGGGAAGGCCGTCCACAAGGTTTAGGAGTGTGTCTATGGGAAGGTTTGACCATTCTTCCAGAAGCGCATTTGTTAGGTCAGGCACTGATGTCGGACGAGAAGGCCTGGCTCACAGTCTCCACTCTAATTCATTCATCCCAAAGGTGTTCTATCAGGTTGAGGTCAGGACTCTGTGCAGGCCAGTCAAGTTCCTCCACCCCAAACTCGCTCATCCATGTCTTTATGGAGCTTGCTTTGTGCACTGGTGCGCAGTCATGTTGGAACCGGAAGGGGCCATCCCCAAACTGTTCCCAGAAAGTTGGGAGCATGAAATTGTCTAAAATGTCTTGGTATGCTGACACCTTAAGAGTTCCATTCACTGGCACTAAGGGTCCAAGCCAAACCCCTGAAAAACAACCCTACATAAACCCCCCCCCACCACCACCACCACCAAACTTTACACTTGGCACAAAGTAGTCAGGCAATTGCCGTTCTCCTGGCAACTGCCAAACCCAGACGCTTCCATCAAATTGCCAGACAGAGAAGTGTGATTGGTCACTCCAGAGAACACATCTCCACTGCTCTAGAGTCCAGTGGCGGCGTGCTTTACACCACTGCATCTTATGTGTTGCATTGCACTTGGTGATGTCAGGTTTGGATGCAGCTGCTCGGCCATGGAAACCCATTCCATGAAGTTCTCTACACACTGTTGTTGTGCTAATCCGAAGGCCACACGAAGTTTGGAGGTCTTTAGCTATTGACTCCGCAGACAGTTGGCGACTTCTGCGCACTTCAGCATGCACTGCCCCGCTCTGTCATTTTATGTGGCCTACCACTTTGTGGAGTTGCTGTTGTTCCCAGTTGCTTCCTCTTTGTTACAATACTACTAACAGTTGACCGTGGAATATTTAGTAGCAAGGAAACGTCACGGATGGACTTATTGCACAGGTGACAACCCATCACGATACCATGCTTGAATTCACTGAGCTCCTGAGAGCGACCCATTCTTTCACAAATATTTGTAGAAGCAGCCTTGCTTTTATACACCTGTGACCATGGAGGTGATTGGAACACCTGAATCCAATAATTAGGAGGGGGGGGCCAATACTTTTGGCAATATAGTGTATACAGAAAGTGGCTGAAAGAGGCAGGAGGAGATCAGCAGCACTGTGATACAAATTAGGATGAAAAAAAGTGAAAACAGTATCTTATGAAAAAACAATGATAGTTGTTTATCAAATGTAGTCCTTTGGCATCAGGTTAGCATTTACATCTACTATAATATCTAAAGCAAGAAATCTTGTAATCATTCATATGTTTATCATAGGAAATGTTTGATGTTATCCTGGATGAGAATCAGCTTGAAGATGCGTGTGAACATCTAGCAGATTACCTAGAAGCTTACTGGAAGGCTACACACCCTCCAAGCAGCAACCCGCCCAATGCACTTTTATCTCGCACCCTTACTACTGCAACCCTTCCCGCCACCCCTTCCTCAGCTTCTAATGCACAGGTAAGAGGACCTTTGGAATAATCTTGGAGACAGAAACTGTGTTAGAAGAAAAAAAAAAAAACAGTGGAGAGGAAAGACATACTGTTGTACAGCACTGGCCTGCCTCGCCGTTGGCTATCCCTGCTTCAGTCGATCCTGAATACGGCTGCCAGACTCATTCACCTTTCCAACCGCTCCGTTTTCCGCCACCCCCCTCTGCCAATTCCTCCACTGGCTTCCGATTGCGCAACGGATCAAATTCAAAATCCTAACACTGACGTACAAAGCTGTCCACCACACTGCTCCGAACTACATCACTGACCTAATATCCAAGTACCACCCAACACGCACACTCCGCTCCTCACAAGACCTCCTTCTCTCTAGTTCCCTGGTCTCCTCCTCCCATGCCCGCCTCCAGGACTTCTCCAGGGTGTCACCCATCCTCTGGAACTCCCTGCCCCAACCCATCAGATTATCACTACTCTCCTCTCCTTTAGGCGCACCCTGAAAACCCATCTCTTCAGGGAAGCCTACCCCACCCCCTGCTAACTTGCCGACCTCCTCCACTCTTCCTACCACTCCATCCCCCACAGCTATCTCCTCCTGTGCCACCATCCCCTCCCTCCTAGATTGTAAGCTCGAAAGAGCAGGGCCCTCGATCCCATCATGTTTTGCATTGTATTGGTATTGTTCTGTCACATGTTCTGTCCCCCTTTGTAATGTACAGCGCTGAGCGAACCATTGGCGCTTTATAAATACTGTATAATAATAATAATATATTCTCAGAAAACAAGACAGAATAAAAAAGCCGTGGAAATACAACTCTACATGGAAAGAAAAATATCGATCTATGCTGGTGCTGAAAATAGGGATTTTGGTCCATGCTGGCTTCTTAAAATAATACAGTTCTATTCCCATCCACACATTTGTGGGGAGATCTTCCCATTCCATCCCTTCCAAAAGGATGTATGCTGTGTACATCAAAGACAAATACAGAATAGTACAACGTGCCTATATGTTTACATCGATTATAATAGTACCAACAACCCTTTAGTGGTAATAAACCCAAAAACAATAAATTAATATATTTCAGATTACCAATCCTTAAATGTGGTGGCTGCATTAGTTTTCTTTTTTTTAAGCTTTTTTCACTTATTTACACCATTTAATCCAGCCAGTAACACCTTCTGTTATTGGGTGCCTCCCCTCTGGATGGTGGAGCAACAAAGACACCTTTGGACAACAGCATTGTCATTCTGGGGAGAGGATAGTGTTAAATGGACTAATAGATTTAGATTGACTTGACTAACAAATTAAAGTCAAAGTCAGCTATTTTTTAGCATTTACAGCCACCGTTTTTTTTTTTCCTTTTCGGATAAAGATTTTACATAAATGAATAAAAGCTGATCATTGTAAGCACTCCTGTCAGTGGTAAATGGTTTGTCTCAAGCCTCTAGCTGCCATTTGTTGTGGACAGCTTGGTCTGTTACTCTTAAGTTGTCTGGTACTGTAAAAATAAAAGTCTTCCTGGTGATCAAATACCACCAAAAGAAAGCTCTATTTGTGTGAAAAAATGGCCTGATCATAAAGGGACCTTCCAGAGCTGAAGTGGATATAGGATAAAAGTGTAAAAAGAGAAAACGATTTCTGCCACAACGTCTAATTATCAGTGAGCTGCAACACTTTCAATTTGGGTACTTTGATTTAAATACTCTTTAGAGGATAAGTTCACCTTTTGGGAAAAAAAATAATAAATACGTGTTTTTTTCAGGAAAAAAATATGCATTTATTATTTTTTCCCTAAGGAGCCTGGAAAGCATTGCACCCATGGTCAGTGGATCAGGGTGCAATGCCAGAGTGCTGCAGACAAGCCCTGCACCTTTCAGCCCGTACCGTGACTGCATTCACAGGAAACTGAATGAATGATGTGAGTGAAGCCCCTCACGTCCACGTTATTTTCACATGTAACATATTTCAAAAGGTGAACTTAGCCTTTAACCCCCCTGGCGGTATTCCCGAGTGTAGCTCGGGGTAAAGTTTCAGCATCACAAGCGGTAACCCCGAGCTACACTCGGGAAGACCTTGCAGCGTTGCTCCGGGATCTCTTCTGCACTTACCTTGTCCTGCGCTCCCGCGATGTCCCCCTTGCAGCGTCCCCGGCCGTCTTCCCCGCCCGATGCTGGCATCTGTCTTCCGGGTTCCGTTCCCTGCAATGTCGGGACGTACGAGGGACAGAACGGCGGGAAATTTAAAAATTGCAAAAAGTGACATTCAATAAATACACTAAAATCACATAGTATAACATTACTGTATCAAACCATTTCACATACATTTTGTCCCGAGTGCTTTGTCCTGTGCCCTGCCTGCATTTTTACTGTTCTTTCTGCCTGGAAACTGAGAAACGTCCATTGCGTCCAAAAAGCGTCCCTTTAGGTCAAAAGCGGTTTTAGACCAGCTAGAGAACAGCGATAGTAAATCAGAACCACTTGCAGAATTGAGTGATGATGATTGGTGGGGAAATTCGTCATCAGACACTGAAAACGATTCTGCGACTTTGCTCAGTGATGTGCGAACTTGGCGCTATATTTCAAATTTCAGTGTTTTTGTTTTGATTATATTATTGAAATAAATTTATTATTAAATTATAATGTATGATTTCGTGTTCAAATTTTATCATACCCGGGATGTTTACTAGACTCTTGTTTGGACAGATTTCAGTGAGTTATTCGTAAAAATGACAGGTCTACAATAAAAAAACAACATATTTCCATGCAAAAAAATGTACCGCTTTGAGCACAGAAATATGGACATAATCAGACCGCTAGGGAGGTTACGTTATTAGCATTTAAAACAGATTCACTTTTTCATTAGCAGGGCTCCCAAGGAGAGCAGAAGAATGAACATCCTCCTCCTGAACGACCTGGGGCCATAGAAGAAGAGGCACCCGCCGAACCGCCAACAAGAAAGTCTCAACATCGATCTTCCTCCTCTGCCCAGCACCACAACCACCGAAGTGGAGTTAGCAGAGGACTTTCTCGACAGGAGACCTTTGACAACGAGACGCAAGACAACAGAGACTCCGTATATCTAGAGCCAAAGGAAAATTACTCTTCCGAACATGCTGATCCTCAGGAGTCCCACCGGGATCACAACCACAGAGACGAATCTCACACGGTTAGCGAACATAGACACAAAGAACCTCGACACCGGACAAATGAGGATAGGGATCAGGACCACAACGAATGCAACAAACCCCGCACCCGTCACAAATCAAGGGAACGATATTGTGAAAAGGACGGAGAGATTTCTAGGAAACGTAATGATAATGAGTGGAATCGGGATGTTTACATCCGCCAGTAACTTTTTGAACACCTTTATATGTGATTTTTTTTTCCTTTTCTGGTTATAAAACCCCCATGCAAATTATTTGGACCCCAAAAATATAACTTTCCCAATTCCTCTTTTTTTGTTTTTTTCTTTACTATTTTTGGTTTGTGCTATTGCTTAGGAAGCAACAGCATTAAAAACAAAGTACTTTCTTTTTTATAGTGTTTTTACTTAAAATTGCCATGGCACATCTGCAGATCTCTTACCAAACTATGTGTTTTAGCTGTTTCCGTGAAAACCATTTGAATGCTGTGTTGCCATCAAGATATTGTTGCTGTTTTAAAGCAAGTGATAATGTTTTTGTAGCCTCCTATTTTATTTTTGTTTTTTTGTTTTTTAAGACGGGACTGGTTGCGGGCAAAATAAATAGTGATTTCACTTTTTCTTCCATATGTGTTTCCACTTTTGCACTGTTAGAGCGATATATTGACAATGTTTTTGTTTTCTGACGGCAAAAGTGATATCAGACTTCTGAACAGACTGCTAAAACATTGCATTTATTTTTGTATTTTGAAATGCACCCACCTACTTTGAATGTTGATTTCAGATCCACTATTTAACTTTTTTTTCATCCTTTTTCGCCTCCCATTGTCTATGTTTAAAAAAAAAACTGAGTTAAATATTGCCTTATACTCACGACATTTCAAAAAGAATTTTCCGTGTAGTGCTGATCTCTGTTGTATACTCTTGTTGTGTTTATTTTTTTTGTCATTTTCTTTGCCCTGCATGCTTAAATGTTAAACTATATTGTTTAACATCATAATTTAATAGTCAGTGACTGGAATTAGCAAGGAGATGTAATGGGTAGAGCTCTTTAAATTAAACAATTGTCAGGTTTTAGAGCAAAGGTCCCTAACTGTATCTTGTGGCCCACATTTGTTGTAGTATTGAATAGGGAGACTTAAAAACATCTGAACCTGAAACTAAAATTTCAGTTGACCTTTCAGTTTAAAACATCACGAGACATTCTGGGTGCATCAAAACAAAAAGTGTGCAGAGTCCTACAGTTTGTTTTCATTAGAATGCAGCCAAAGCCGGAGTAGAAAAGCCTGCCCCATGCCAGCATGCTCTGGAGAAGGATCCTTACTCTATATGGAAGCGGTGATCTCTCTGCGGAGATCTAATATGAATCACAAGTGGTTCTTCAGTCAACAAAGCTCAAAGTGATATTAAAGTGTTACTAAACCCACAACAGTAAAATCAGTCTGTATATGCAGTAAAGCACGCTTGTTATACTCACTGTGGAACCTAAGGGGTAATCCTCTGCATTGTGTAATAATGCTGTTTGATCCTGACTTCTCTGATCCTCCCCTTCGTTCAGTGTCCCCCTCTTATCTCCTGATAAGACATATCGTGTGGAGTCACTCTGCACATGTTCAATTTGGTGTGTATTGCTAGAGAAGTTTTTTATTTTTGCTTGGGAGAGTGCATGTAATCAGCATAGGGCAAATCAGCACTGTCCAGACAGAGGTCAGGGGTTCTGCATCCTCCTAGAGCAGAAAGAAAACACCTCCTACAAGCTTTAACCAGTGCTCAGCTGGACACTGATAGAAGTCACAAGACAGCTCCAACTATTGATGAGAAAATGTATTTAGCAGTTTATATTTACTAAAATAATTGCACTTTAATGTTCTGTGTACTGTGGGAGACCAGATATGGTGAATGCGGGGTTCAGGGAGACCAGATATAGTGAATGCAGGGTCCTGGGAGACCAGATATAGTGAATGCAGGGTCCGGGGAGACCAGATATAGTGAATGCAGGGTCCAGGGAGATCAGATATAGTGAATGCAGGGTCCAGGGAGACCAGATATAGTGAATGCAGGGTCCTGGGAGACCAGATATAGTGAATGCGGGGTTCGGGGAGACCAGATATAGTGAATGCGGGGTTCGGGGAGACCAGATATAGTGAATGCGGGGTCCTGGGAGACCAGATATAGCGAATGCGGGGTCCAGGGAGACCAGATATAGCGAATGCAGGGTCCAGGGAGACCAGATATAGTGAATGCGGGGTTCGAGGAGACCAGATATAGTGAATGCGGGGTTCAGGGAGACCAGATATAGTGAATGCAGGGTCCTGGGAGACCAGATATAGTGAATGCAGGGTCCGGGGGGAGACCAGATATAGTGAATGCAGGGTCCTGGGTTTAGTAACACTTTAAAGGCAATAAAAAAAAAACATGTCATACGTATCTGCTCTGTGTAATGGTTTTGCACAGAGCAGCCCCAGTCCTCCTCTTCTCAGGTCCCCCACTGGCGCTCCTGGCCCCTCCTGCTAAGTACCCCCAGTGCAAGCAGCTTGCTATGGGGGCACCCAAGCAGGCTTGCTCCCAAGTCACTTCTCTGCGTGCCTATTCACACACAGAGCTGTGACTCAACCCTGCCCCCTCTCTTTCTTCATTGGCTGTGATTGACAGCAACATGAGCCAATGTGGACAGAGAGTCCGCGGAGAACCGAGGCTGTCGTGCACAACGCTGGATTGCGATGGGGCTCATGTAAGTATTAGGGAGGCTGAGGGGGCTGCTTCACACAGAAGGTTTTTACCTTCATGCATAGACTGCATGAAGGTAAAAAGACTTGAGCCTTTACAACCACTTCAAACTGTCCACTCATGGAGAGCTCTAGCTTCCTCATCAGGGGTCATGTTGGACCTCTGCAGAGGGAATACTGCCTCCATATAGAGAGCAAGCCTCTTTCTTTACAACATGTTGACAGGGGACAGGCTTTTCCATGCAAGCTGTGGTGCCTTTCTAAGAAAAGACTGTAAGACTTTTAACACTTGTTTTGATGCACCTGCAATGTATTTTGCTGATCTAAACTGTAAGTTTATTATGGCTTAAATTCTTCAGAGCAAGGCTGCTTAGATGCCTGGTCTTTGTTGATGTCAACGACCACGGCACAAATGCTTATCCCAATATGAAGACTATCTAAAGCCAATTTTTTCTTTAATGTAGGATGGAAAAGGGTTACAATCAGGTTTTTATTTCTGTCTGTGCCTCCATTGGCGAGATTTCCCTCTCTATTTGTCCTGGTGACCATTGGCATTGGGACTGAATAGGATGGGAAAATCAGAATTTTTATGTTGTCACTGGGTCAGAAAAGGGTAAAACTTTCAGCAATAACTGTCTAAGAGAGGGTTCCCCTTTCTTTGGAGAGATATGTTCTCGGATTCTGTTGCATATTGAAACAGGAAGTGAAGGAATATCTCCCCAAACAGACCTGTATATTGGCAAAGAAATTGGGCACTTTTTGTAATGGAAAATAATTTGTAACTTAAAGTGGACCTTGCATGATAATCCAAAGTCCCATTATCTTACAGCCCCTTACCCCTGTGTAAAAATAATTAGTACATGCCATATAAAAAGATAAAACAACAGAATTCCTTACACCTTCCAGCTGCCTCTTGTAGGCACTGGTGATGTCATTGGATCTCACTGTGGGAATCTGGGAAAGTTGAAGATCCCAAATCTCACAGGAAGACACTCGAGAACTGGGAAGGAGTGCATTTGCACAGGATTCTGGACCACCAGCATTCCTAGGATCCTATGAGAAGGCCCAGTGACATCACCCTTACCTAAGCGAGTGCACCAGAGGCTGGAGTAAGAATTTTTTTTCATTTTTCAAATGTCTTATTTTTAATTGCTTTTATTTAATGGTCTATTTATCAAAGGATTACTTGTGCGATTTGGACAGTGAATGTTTGTTGAAAATGTGTCCATCTGTATTTTCTGGCATATATAATGATGAAGCAGATTCACCCTAATGTGGTAGTTGGGTGAACCTTGTTTGGCTTTAAATGTGACGGGCTTTACATTTTTCAAAATGGGTCTCCCCCATACAACAAAGGATTAAAAAATTTCACCCATCATTTTAAACATACAATTTAACAGAGAGATTCCAATAACAAGCAATGTTGGCCTGCCACATTTAGATTCAAACAACATTCTTCTATTTGCTGCATTACACTTAGGATAAATGTCATAAACTTCAGATGGAATAATGTCTAGGAAACATTTCCTGAATTTTTGAACTTTCAAAAATAGTACTTTTTTTTTTACCTGGGTGGTGGGGGGGCTACAAGATAAGGCAGCCTTGCATTTTGATTAAAAGTCCGCTTTAAACGGTACCTAGCAGGCCAACTCATTTTATAGAAATGTGCTCACCAATCTCCTAAGCACCTTCAGCAGAGATCATGTGGCTTGGTCCACCATGGGAGCCCAAAGCAGTCTGTTTTGCAAGATTGGTAAGTGCTTCAGGTCTCTTTTACAGCAATAAATTTAAAGCCCAATTTGGCTCATTTACAAAACTGCACCCATTATGTTAGATTGCACCAAAGCAACAGGTTTTCCAGTGTCCAGCCTGCCACATAAGTGTAAGAATGTCTGTCGACAACCCCCCACCCGTTTTTATCCTGCATTTAAGGACCACTGACCTCGCTGTGTGAGTAGCCATCCCACAAACCTCTCTGCTGATGCAGACTAATATCTCTGCAATCAGCCAAACTCATGCTCCCTGCTGATTGCAGAGTTATTGGTTTGACTCAACAGAAGGACATTTTGGAGCTACTGTCCCTAAGTTGTCTGATGGTACATGCTCCCAGCCCCACATTCCCACCCTTTCTTCACTGCGTAGTGAATCACCATCTCAGAACCCCTGCTATGCATATTTTTGTTGCTGGTTAGTCATCCACCAATTATCAAAGTTAGGATCACAGCTATCCTGCACCTTCAAATACAAGTTAATTGTGGTCTGCAGATACTATGTTTCTGACCTAATAGGTACCTTTTTAACTCATAGTTAAAGGGGATGTATTTTTTTTTGTCAAGTAAATACAGCCTCTTAAATAAAGCCTGTTGTTAACAAAGCTCAGTAGCTGAAGCTGCAGTTTGTACACAGAATAGAATGCCTCATCACTGTAACTCACCCCTTATCAGACTGCTCTGTATGAGGTTTCAGTCAGACAAAGCCAGCTTTGGGCCACACAGCTACTGCTCTGCTGTTTCTTTAGGTAACCCCTTGGCAGCCTTAGTTATGTATTAAAGCAGAACTCCAGCTTTCCTAATACCTACTGCCTCCTCCTGCCTGAAACCCCCCAACAGTATTGTTTGCTGTTTACGCTTTTTATGCATACCTTTTTTCTGCACTCTTCAGCCCAGCTTGGTGATGTTACAAGTTCTGTCTCTTATTCATTGGAGGTGGTTGGAAGTCCTAACCCATGGAATGATTGGTGCCCACAAAATGACACAAACCAAGCTCCGCCTAGGGGTTGTATCCTTGACAGTCAGGGCTCACAGTAAGTAGGTTGGATGATGCTGGATGTCATTCAACCCAAGAGAGGAATGATAGCTGTGACCAGGAGAGGTGAGTCATTGGGCTACAGGGGGAGAGATATTGCAGCAAAAACTATCTTTTTTTTTTCCCTGCCACTGCTTCCCAGTACATTTAAACAAATTCATGGAATTCTGCATTAAATGTTTATTTGTAAACTGAGAATCAAATAATAGTAAAAATAGTAATATCATTATTAATATCTATATATATATATAATAATATAATAATAATATATAACATATATATATATATATATATATATATATATATATATATATATATATATAAAACATCTATTAAAAAATGTACCAAAAGGGCTACCAAAATACGGTAATAATTAAAGTTTGCCTTTTAGACAACTAATAACAACCTAACTTGCAGAAAAGATTGTTTGGGGCTTCAATGGTAGCCCAGTTACATCACCACATGCCTAAGTGCTGGTCACCTGATCTCAGCTGAAGATGCTTAGGAGATTGAGAAAGAGCCAGTTGACATCTTGTTCCAACTTTATTGATTTTTAAAATATTTTGCACACAGTTTGTATAGGCATTCACATTGTGGCACTTTGTTAAAAGGTTCAGTTCACCAAAAAAAAAAACAAAAGCTTTGTTGGTGAGATCTCTGCATTTCCGCTCCAGAACACCTGCTGCGTCCATTATGAGGGGCCCCAGTCTCTTTGTAGGACATCTAGTTTATTTAATAGCACAGGGAATGCAACAAGTACAGTGGGAAACCATTTGTGAGAACAGAGCCAGGAACCCTTATAGATTTCCCCACTGGTGGTCCTCATATGTCATCGGACATCAGTCAGTGGTTCTGACTGCCTTATCCCCTTTACAACTGAAAGGACAATTTTTGGTTGACCGACCATTTTAGTCCCGTGGTAAATATGAAAAAGGAGCACTCAAAATGTAAACCAGTAATAAAACTGTTAGTGGAATTATATAATTGGGTATCCTCTGATTGGTGCTATTCCTATGCAGAATGTGAAATGCAGCACAGACTGTGAACCGCCCTGCCTGCTGCTATGAGTGTGTTCAGAGGTAACTTAGAGCTACATATGGCCCACAAGCCACCAGTTGGGGATCTCTGCTATAGA